TAGGTAAGCCGTATGTAGGGCGCCGTCGTCAACGTCGGCCGGTCGCGCGACTTTGGTCTTGGCCTCAAAGTCTGACCGGTTGCCATCTTTGGCTAGGACCGGTTTAGCCCGATCACGCTCTTAGTGTCCACCACTCTCACAAGTCATTTGCATCAACCCGAATATTTACTGACCGAAGAAATCAGTATTCAATTTCACTATTTACATCTACCTGTACAATTCCGCATAATCACGTCGCGGTGTATATTTTACTTCAGAGTAACCGTTTAAAGGACGGTTTTTCCTTGTTGACAAGGCGATTCATCATTAGTAATAAAATAATTATTACCAATTGGTATCAGAATGAGTCTATCTCGACTGTGTAATATTTATGACTTATGGGTGTTCTTAACACCCGCCCTCGCAGTCAGTGTCGGTGAGTCAGAGGCCGAGTTTGAGCCCAGTTGGTTCACAGCTCGTAGGGCGAGTGAATCACTGCAACGCCACACCATGCGCCATACTGTTATGCACGTAATGATGTCGCAGGTAACAGAAACCCATTGTATGCTATTCACCATTGTGCAGCCGAACTTTTTAGGTCTCCGTAAGTGATTGTTAACGCTTTATTGTTATACAGTTCGAATGTGTTGGTTTATTTAAATTAGAATAATAACAGGATTCTATGATGCAGTTTGCTTTGTAACTAAAATCGTTTTTACTGAGTCTATCTATGGTCATAGAATAGCTAACAAACGTGAGGTGGTAATTAAAAAGTAATGTACGGAATAACTGTCGACCTGTGGATCTTTATTTTTAATTATATACTGTAATTAGATGGGCGTCTTTGTTTAACATTGATTTAATTACTCCATTAAAACTCTCTTATTAAGAAAGGAAAATTAAAATTCTGAATTTTCAGACAAGAGAAACTTAATTTATGTTAGCATTTATTTACCTACAGAGGCACTAGATAATATTATACGGTTGTTACAAATACATTTTTACTTATTTACATATAAAATACATAAATAACTGTGTAAAAGCTAATATACACCATACATGCTTATTATCAGGGGCGTGCCGGCTATCGACCGGCCCATGCAAGTACCTAACAAGATTACCCGTATCTCACTTAAATTGAAAAATATTAAATAGTCTTTAATTATAAGAATTTACTAATATTCTTTAAAAAGATGTTTCTTATGTGTAATAAATTAAAAATCGCTGAAATATTATGATTAAACTAAATAACGTTACTGCCAGCGCCATCTATTGACATAAGTTTGAATTAGCAGGTTTCGCTTAGCAGATAAGCCAGTTCTTACGAACGTTTTGACTGTTAGAACCTTCAACTTTTCTCATAAGCGATTATTACGCGGTTAGAAAGAAAGAGGGTGTTCTGTTGCCGATGGCTGTCAATTAATAATATTTGGGATTATTAAATTTTTTAATTCGGATGTTTTAAATTTTTATTAATTACTAACTTCTGAAAATTAGTAAGTTATTTTATTTTTTGTTCTTAGCTTATCGCGGTTATATAATTATTTATAGATTAAAATTAATGGAACTCATGCCTAAATGTATGTATATAGTATGTTTGTAATAATGTAACTCATTTTTGTTGGAATTTGTATGTTTCCCAGATTACACCCTTCGGATGAAAATATGTGAAGCACCGTACTGTCCGAAGGTCTTTAATTAAAGGCGCTACAATGTTCGCGATCAGCAACTTATGTAGGTTAAATAATGAAATATCTAATGTACCACTCGTACAAACATTAAATCAAAATACAGAAAAAATACTTATTTGCTAATTACATGCTTCGCTCACAAAACACCTTGCTTGCGGTTTTATCTGGATATAAGGAGGTCAGTAACTAAATTCTGATAAGCCAGAGAAAAAAAATACGCCAAATAGGAATTACTCGATTATCGCCAAAATGTTCTTGAAGACTGATGGTAAGTAATAAAAATGATTTGATTATACCTTTTTTTATTATATCAAGTAACGGGACAAGCTAGTCGTGCGTCTGGTGGTAAGCGACACGCCTGTCCATAACAATTGCAAATTAAATTGAAAAAAAAAAAATTGGAAAAAATTCAAAGATCAAAACATCGTAAAATGTTTTGGTAACGTTGTAGACACGTGGATAGCGAAAGATGTTACAAAAAAGATTTCCATCGGAAATTAAACATTTTTTTCGTGTCTTAAAGCCTATGCACACGCCATATTTTATAAGCGCCGATACGTTGTGGTGAATCGATTCAAACGAGCGCAAAGATCGCGTTGCAATCAAGAAGCTTAATATACTTACTCCACTGGAGTTTACACTTACAATTTCATGTAGTTGCTTCATTTAAAAAAACTAATTAAAATTAACAAACAAAACTGAAATTAAAACTATCTTTTATCAAAATGCGCGATATATACGCGCGACTAAAGCGCGTCTACGGCGCGAATTTACGGCGCGTGTAAAATACGCTGTGAGCATACGCTCCTTCGTCCTTTGAAACAAATCGACGTTTCGTACCCTTTGCAGGTCCACCATGGTCACGGCTGGCTGAGTCAGAAGATCAAAAAATTCCTATATGCTATAGGCGTAACAATTGCGAAAACCTAAAAACTCGAAACGATTCCCATTAACTTTCAAAATTCATGAACGTCGGTGCATATCTTAAGATATGAAACTAGGATAGATAACTATCATATACAGTAAAATCAATTCAGTTTACGATTATCAAATACCATTAAAAAAAACATTCGCCACAATGTCGCTAAAAAAAATTGATTTACATCCCAGTAGCGAACAGTAAAGTGTTCTCCAAAGCGAAGCCGGGTCGGGTAATATTCAGGGATGTTCCGATACCTACTCAAATGAATAGTAATCAATTCGTCATGCGATACTAATCATATGAGTACTTCAAAAGTATCGATACTTTTTAGGAGATATAAAATATGTCCGTACTTTAGATTTTGACGGCACCATAATAACAAAAAAAAAAAATTTTTAACAAGCAAGCACTGCACAATTAAATAAATAAACGGTCTTTTCTTTTTTTAAAGTATTATAGCTAAATCGATAATTCCGCTAATCGATCGAGATAATAGAATAATACCTAAAGTAAACATTAATTTAAATCAAAACTGTAATACAAAAATACATAACAACCCGCCAATTTCTCTTTGTGAACTTCGCTTATTCGCTGAGATGTATGTCCAAAAATCATCCAAAAATGATTCAAAGGGACTATAGATAGTCATCTACATTTTGCTCTGGTACTTCGCGGTTTGCATTTGTTTGCCGTAAAACAGTGAAAATGGAAAGAAAAATAAAAAAAGATGATCTTTTCCAGGAAGGAAGGGATGTGGGATTAATATTAAATATTTACGCGTGCGCGTTTCGTTTCGATATCAGTATTTGTCTTCCGATATCCAGTAAAAATCGAAATTAGGGATTCGACACTTAGAATACTCGATACCGAAACAACAGTATCGAGTACTTACTTGTATCGAATCGTCCCTAGTAATATTTCAAAAGAATGTCGCTTGTGCAAAAGTCTATATTAATTATCTCCATAGCGTTGACGACCACGTTCGCGATTCTCGGTAGGATCTAAGAAGCAAAATTCTGTAAATTGGTTCTAATCTGAGTTGTTAGTAGCAGTAGAGCACCTTGTGAACTGCCGTGTTCCGGTTTCGAAAGATAAGGGTGCTGGTGAAATTACAGGCACATGGGACTTGTCAACTTATGTCTCAGGGTGACAGGTGCAGTGCCCCTCAAATCCTTGCGATTTAAAGCTCTGAATGGCACTGCACACACATTCACTTAGTGTAATACAAAAAGTGTCTGGGCCCAGGGAGAACCCTGTTTCTCTAGTTTTCGTAATACAGAAAATTCTCTTATTTGAAAAAGAAAGCTTTATATTAGGTAGCCCACAAAAGACATAAGGGTGCGCACAGTTGTTCACAAATTTAAGAGGTAATTTATATGCTTTTAAAATGAGATTCCGACATTTGAAATTCAAAACTTGCGATACATACACGAATTTTAAAACTATAGTGAAATAATAATCTCAGTACAGAGTACTAAAAAAACCGACCTAAAAGTACGTGGAATTACGTCTATTTGCTAAGTTTTATTGAAATATCCCCTAGTTCGCCACTATACAGGGCTTGACATTGGAGATAATAATAATGGGTTCTCACTATTCAAAGTATGTATAACGAGAGAAAAACGCCTTGAATTGGATAAATAGCAAAATCAACCATTAAAATAATTGCTCCTAAATTAAAGTTAGGCGCTATTTATAAAAATTAATCATCATGCGTGAACAGCCTCCCTTCAAGGTGGATGATTTTCTTCAAAATAAAATGGGACTACTATGGAAGTACCCCCTTTTCAACAAAAAAAAAGAATCATGAAAATCGGTTCACAAATAACATACATACAAGAAAAAGAAAAAAAAAGAACATACAGTCGAATTGAGAACCTCCTCCTTTTTTGAAGTCGGTTCAAACTTTATACTAAAGATTATTTCTGCAGCTGCAGAAGTACCTACTTGGATGACAATAATCCATGGTAATATTTGAAATAAATATTGTAAATGTGTACAAATGTTTATTAACAAAGAGCAACCCTTAAAGTTTCTGACTTAATCTTCTCAGCTGAATTTGCCTTACGAATATGCAGAAGAGTTTAATCAATATATCAGTTTTAAGTTTAATTTGCTTATCTACAATGATCTTATATACAAAAAAAGGCAGAACTGTTATTAGCGTCCGCGTAGTAAGGAATCGAAAACCAGTCAATTGACCGATCTTGCAATCAATCTGCATCAAGCAGAGACGAATTTGACATTTGTAAAATTGCGTCATTTTAAGAAAAATGCTGTCGAGTTTGAGAAGATTGAATTAATCACGTAGCGCTCTATATATAAGCTCAAAATCAGTTTGAATTACGCTCATCCATTAAGCCGCTCAGATGCAGATTGATTAGAATGAAATTAGTGTTAGTCCTCACCTTTTCGTATTAGTAAGCTGGTGACTCTGCGTAGTGCTTCTCTCGGTGACTTGTGGAAGAACTTAGGCGTCAAGTTGGGGGGTAGAGTGAGCGGCTTACGGGCCCCGGGGCCCTCCCAAGGCGGAGTAGAGTGCTCGGCCGACATCTTGGATGATGTGGTTAGTCTGTCCAGGTGCTCGATTGAAGCCGGCCTGCCGTCAAAGTGTAACGTTAACTCAGCAGTGCCGGAGCCAAATTAAATTTGACTTGATTATTATAAGCTGGACTTTATGGTTAATTTTTTATGAGCGGTTTTCTAATCTAATTCGGGTGGCAACTTTTATTATTTAAGCATTCAAATATTATTGTTAAATAACATTTCAGGTTCAAAACCTTGAATATTAAATATATATACGTTATGATAATATTCTAGAATATTCAAATAACAAAAATTGTCACCGAAATTAAGTAGAGAGAACTAACCTGAAAATTTCCCTTATATCCAAGATAGGTATATCAATATTGTGTATGTATAATTTCGGAAAACACATTGTCGCAGAGTGTTACAAGCGGACTAAGTATTTACAAAAATGTTAAACACCCTGTCACTTCTAAAAGAGATTTGTCTGTGTTAGCAGATAATACGAGTATACACTTTAGTACTGAATACTGACAACTCTAGCTACGATACATACACATAACACATAAATATTCAACAAAGATGTCACAAAGTTTCTGTATTTTATTTTTGATAATTTTATTTTTTACATTCTTGGATAATAAACATTTGGTTCGCGTCGAGCTTTAGTCAAGAAAGCGTTAGAACTGAGTGCTTTTTATGTATAACTTTCTGTCTATACAATGTGAGTTACAGTTGGCGGCAGAGAAGAAAGCCCTAGGGTATAATTTGTGAGTTTTTAATTTATATATATAAAATAAAAAGTATATCAAATGATATTTTTACACACTGAAACGCGTGCTGGCGCTTCAGTGTGGCGGGTTCATATGAACTCATATATTACAATAATTCCCGCGCCCGGAACGCTTCCGCGGCCGCCGCTGTGTGGCCAGAGCATTAATGTTAGAAGTGTAATAAAGAGTGTTACTAGTTATAAGTTTTTTAAATCATTGTATAGAGATTGTGTATAATGGTTTACTTCCGTTTCTTTTACCATGTTTATAATTGTTTTAAATCGTAAATAAAGCACCCGCTTTTCGCTTGTCTAATTTAGTAATTATTGTTATTTTTCTAAATCTATAGTAAACTATTAGTCTAATAGATAAAAAACTGTTACGTACCGATGCCTCTGCCGTGGATACCACCCCCGGGCGGGGCCTCCAAGTCGCAGTAAGTCAGCGCCGGTGCACACGCCTGCCGCGGGGCCCATAATTGATCCTCGTCCATAACCTCCTAATGTAGCACTGCTTCCTGTATACAATACATAGCTTTACATAAAGACAGAAAACATAAGATTACTTTTTATGAAAGTATAGCGACGGAATAACGTCAAAGAGAAATTGTGTAAAAAAAGTGAAAAAAGAAAAATAAGAAAAACTGCTGCACTTCAGTACTGTCGTGGCAAACCAAAACACTGCAAGTCCCAGAGTGTTTTCGAATTCCATTAGAACAAGAATCTTTCAGTTGTTATAAAAAAAAAGAAATTTATTTGTTTTTCATTAGGAATAGCTTATTTTGCATAGTAAAATTATAACGGCTATACAGACACCTTTATTATCTATTGTACAAGAGTTATTTGTAATGCGAGGTTGTAACGTTGTTGTTTGACGCTAGGGCTTGTATTGCACGAGACACAAAACAACTTTGCTGCCGAGCGAAACACACAACTTTTCACCTCACTACAGCGAGAAAAATGGTAGACGAAAGAAAAACATTTGAACTAAAAAACATCAGCTTTTTAAAATAAAAGAAAAAGTTTATCTTCGGATGCGTTCTGAATCTACACCTTATTCTTGCTTGTACGGACAATGGCACATCACACTACACATTTTTGTTAGAAAATTGTTTCCAGTGCAACGGAACAAGATACGTCAATGTGTAGCTTGATGTGCTGGCGTGTGTACTTTTATTTTGTGTTATTAAGTGATTATTGAAATTACTTTAGTTCTTCGAATTGATTACTTATTCATAAAATAGATTCTCTTGAGAAAAATGTGTAAAAAAATTGTTGGGAACTAGAGATTTCTTCATATTTATCATTCACAATATTTCGCTACTTTTCATGAGTAGTGACTCAACACCAATTAATATATTGCGCCTTTGGTACAATAAGGCCAATTCTGCAAAATTATAAATTTTCAGGAGAAAGGTTTAAATCACAACGTAATGACTGGTTTATAATGTTAGTAAATTTTTTGTGGAATAAAACAATAGATGGAACAAAAGTCTAAGGAGTTGTTAGGTTTTACCTATTTCCTTTTTTAATTTCTGCTATTCATTGCCACACATTCAGGGAGCTTTAATACGTGCGGCATCTCTTCACGAATATTGGTGTCCAAGATTAAGGGTCGTATTCTAGAACTCTACTCAATGCTCAAGTCAAGACGTGAGTATGATTCAAAGCACTAGAAATCATACTCAAGTCCTTGCCATTAGGGTCGTATTTCCAGTGCTTAAAACCATACTCAAGTCTGCTCAAATCCTGACTTGAGCAATGAGTACAGTTCTGGAATACGACCCTAAGTGCCGGTAGTAAGATTCGTGTCTATAAAAATGTCATACGACCGATTTTAATACATGGATGGTTGCGAAGCTTCGACGCTAACTCAGAGAGAAGAGAATAAGCTTCTTGTCGGCGAAAGAGAAATCTTGCGTATGATTTTGGGAGGGAAGATGGTAGCTAGAGGATCCGAAAAAACCAGGAGCTGGAGGACACCGTGTCATCATGATAGGGCGCGCTGGCGCCAACTCGTATTGGAGGCTAAGACCCGAGCTGAACCAATGGAGTATGGTGCAGCCACACATTGGAAATGAAACTATTTTTTCGAATGGCTAACTAAGAAATCTATTTAATTTCAAATTGGGTTTCATGAATTGAAAAAAAAAGAGAAAAGTGAAGAATTTTTTAACCGACTTCAAAAAATGAGGTTCTCAATTCGACTGTATTTTTTTGCATGTATGTTACGCGATAACTCGCCGCGGTATTTGTGAACCGATTTTGATGATTTTTTTTTGTAAGAAAGAGGGTACCTCAGTATTAGTCTCTTTTAAATTTGAAGAAAATTTCCGTCTCTAAGGGTGGCAAACTAGGGGATGAATCCGGTTTCGCGCATTTTTCGGTAACCAATTTCAATAAAACTTGGCAAATAGATGTAATTCTTCGAACTTTTGAGGTCGGTTTTTTTTAGTACTCAGCACCGAGATTATTCTTATAACGGAATATATAACTTATTTACGCATCCATCTATACGCCACCCCTAGCTATACACGATCCGCCTTCAAAAGGAACGCGCTACTCACGTCGACAATTACTCTTCTGCGACCATCCGCGCCATTTAAACATGTCCTACACTCATCAGTAAACATTTCCGAGCCTATTTATTATTATATTATTATTACGTGATCACGTGCAAACATTAAGAGCTCGTATGTTAGCTAGATAATTTTGAACCATTTGTTGTTCTGGAATGGATCATTCTCGTTCAATCATCTTTCTTATGGTTCGTGCTAAAGTTCACAATGGCGTAGGATTCTCACTCATGTTTTACCGGTACAACATCTTTGAAAAAAAACTTGTCTCCATTAACCTTCTACATTGTCAAGAAATCATGGCCTGATTCACATTTAAATACCAAGTTCAATAGTTGATCTAAGCCCTGTCGCACTGATGCCACAATTTGAGCGGCCTTCTCGGTTGATGTTATTGATATTACAGTGAGGAAAATATTTTGAATTATGATTCAGTTGGTAGTGATAAAAGAATTTGACAACATTCAAATTTAAGTATTATTCACCCTTGTAATAACACGCTAATTATGCTAGTAAGAATAATACCTTAACTCTCATCTGTGACGTAACGAATTTTTTTAGAGGCTATTTTAATAGTCATTTGTCTCACGATTCAGTCATTCCATTTTTAAATTTGATTTTTTTCAAGTTTCTACTTTTCCATTCAAATAAATCTAAAAAGTTTTCATTCGTCTTTTCATTCGATACATATTTTTATTTTATGAATATATATATATAAATGTATGTTTATGTGTCCGTCAGGGTGTTATTTATTATACATCGAGTATATAACCAGAAATAGAGACGAAATGTCATTTAATTTGTTTGAAAACTATTTTGCCATATCATTACTGTGACAACTGCGCTCCGATTGGCTAGCCCGAGTTCGAAACAATTGACGGGTGTCGTCAACTGTTTCACTTCAAATCGACCAGTTAACTTGAGCTTTGCTATAATGGACGAAAATTGCAAAATTACATATTTAATTACCGATGAAATGTGATTCCGTTTGTTTTGTAATTAGATGTTTTGCTGTTTTTCCCACACCACCGAATGGAACAGCATGGCATTGTTAGAGATATTATCTTTATTACAATAAATACAGAATATTTTTTGGAATATACGGAGACGTACACACAGGTCAGTAGTTGGCCTGTCTATATTTCAGTGCAAACGTGAGTTGATATTTATAAGAGCTGTATCGCTAATGTGTTACCAGGAATATATGGCCCTTATTTCGTCTCTATTTCTGGTTATATACTCGATGTTATTATATAATCATATTAAATCAAGGATTGATTTTCCGCAAAAAATTAAACATTGAAGAAAAATTACAATCTAAGATCTGGCAGTAATTAGACGCTTTAGCCTGTCCCAAAGGAGACAAAAAAAGTTACTATTATGTATATTACATCAAGATGTGGGCCTTGCGAGTTATTTCGACAAATTTTTGCCGGTCTTCTGTTACCAGTGTAGTATATTTGATGTTACCATAATTGACGTTGACTTAATGCTAACACCGGAGGATTACGGTTGATTTTTGACATGTTATTGCCTGTTTACCGTCGTTATGTACAATTACTTAGTTTATCTTTACTGGATGTTTTATTTATTTAAATTGATTATTAAATAATTTTTTTATTGCCAACCGATTTTTTTATAAGTGTGCCTAGGCACCTACCCTGTGCCTATAGGTAACACTCTTGTGCTCGAGTGATTTACGAATACGAATAACATAACCATGTCCTACCTATTGACTGTATTGAGTTCATGGTGTTATTTCGGGGCGGTCCAGTGGAGTTGCGTGGAGGAGTCCTGGGTACATCGCAACCTCTAGCGAAGACAGGCGTCTCGGGTAGACTAGCTGATGTTTGCAGCGCCCCTCTTGGTACGTCGCGGTTTTGCCGTTGCAACGTTCTTCGACGGGCACCACTCACTCCCATATCTGAAACACGACATGTTTCGTTAGTCGGAATATAGTCATAAGGTCATAACGGTAGATATTTTATCTCACGTTATATTGTACCGGGACTTGGGCCAGCTTCTGCCAAAGTCTTGGGACGGTCGCATTTATATCAGGTTAGTTTTGCAATCGGAGTCATCTCGGTTTTGTAACCGGTGTCACCTCGGTTTTGCATGAAGGTGTCTAAATAAAATGTGACTTTACTTGATCAAAGATACATCTAGGTAAATGCCAGTTGTTTGGAATTTGTTTTTTTTTCAAGCTACTATGGAGTAAATAATTTCTTTCATAATACCAAACGATGGGACGAACAAGTCGTGCGCCTGGTAGTAACCGACACGCCTTTCCATAACAGATGCATTGCTATTCAGAGCTTTAAATAGCAAAGAACTGAGGAGTACTGCTACTGCGTCACCCTGAGACATGAGTTGATGAGCACGCTCTTAGCCTACAAAACTGAAATGTCAGCATTGTCGCTTGGCGAAGCAATAGGTAAGGTGGCAGCACTTTCCTGGGCGAACTAATTTACAAGGAGCTGTACTAGTACTAAGTATATCTCGGGTGATGTGTTATTACCTGTAGGCAACGTTCTTCTGTCGGTGGAGCCGCTCTTGAAATTACTGCTCCTTCTGTTTTTGTTGTAGCTTGTTTCCATGGACCGCGTCTTCAAGCTGTTGGTTGTGTCGCGATGCGGGGGCACCGCAGGGGGTTCTAAGGGCCTGATTAATTATATAAAATTAGTAAAGGCACTTAATTTATAAATCAGTTATATTCAAATTTGTCTTTCTTAATGCGACTTACCTTCTTCTGGCGTCCATGACTGGTGTCGGCAAGCTATCGGTCTTTTTTGGATGGCGTTTATCTGAAGATTGCACAATTTCGGTGTACTCGTCTTCTACCTCCTGTACTGGTGAAGGCGGCAGTGGGGGGAATTTTGGTGATTCTGGCGTTTGCGGTAAAGGCCCCATTTCATGACCTAAGTTTGGTGATGGCGGGAGAGGGTGGTGTCTGTACGAATGCTCTACTATCTGCACATTCAATGGGAAGTCACCACCGCTAGACACCGCAGAGTCGGACGACGACGGTTGACGCATTAGGCTTACTGGCACATCCTTGGCGCTAGTGGACTTATGCATACTATTTGTTCGTCTGCCCGACGATGATCGTTCTCGGCGCTCTATCGATCGTTGATTCTGAATTTCATTATGACTTGATGATTTTTGGATATCGTGGCGTTTCTGTCTCTCTCTAGAACTATAACGGAAATTGTTTTCTAATATATCTTTCGATATTTCATCACAGTATTCATCCTTATGGATATTCCAGTCTTTAGGTATATATGGGGTAAAATGCTTTTGGTCCCGACCTTGACTTAGTATAGCGTTAATGTTATTTTCAATTTTGCGCAGTGGTGAGGTTTCACCGCTTGATTCTGGCTCGCCACTTTCTTGGTCTTCCTCTTCCTCAACTGTGGTGATCAGGGCTTGTCGGCTTGCACTGGTGCTCTCATCAGCGCCCAGGCTAGGTAACGATACTACTCGCACCATACTTGGCGGTATTGCAGATAGTTCGTTAACAGTTTCATTGCATTCCAGTTGAGGAGTTTCCTCAACTTTACCTTCTTTAATCAAAGATTGTATGTTATCAAACGTTGAAGAGTACTTTTTAAAATCTGAAAACCTGTTTTGAGGCGATAGCTTATTTTGGACAATATTGCTTTTAGAAGAATGGGTACTCTTATCATTAGAAATCTTTTTACTCTTAGGACTATGACCGAAATATTCTTGACTTATGTATCTATCCTGTCCATTATTAAGATCTAAGCTAAGTCTAGATTTAGGAGACAGCATTTCTTTGCTCAACCTTGAATTCGGTGTACAGAGATCTATACTATATCTAGAATTAGGTGTATTAAGTTCGCGACTTAGTCGTGAGTTTAAGTCCACGCTGTATCGGGATTGAGGTAAACTCAAATCGGAGCTCGGTCTCGAGTTGTAGGATCCGACAGATCCGGATCCACTTATTGATATACTGGATCCATCGATTGATTTGTCCGTGTCTATACTTCTATTTAGGCTATGATTTTGCAATAAGTTTGTTGCATTCGATTTGCTGTTCGTAGTTTTATTGAAACTTGGTAGTTGTTTCCGATTTTTCCCCTTTCTGATAACATAGGTTCCACTGGCTAAGTCCTGTGGTGTTCGACGATTGTCACCGTCCACGTCGGAAGTTGGAGAGGCTAAGGGCTCGCACTGTGTGAAAGGTGGAGGTGGAGGCCAATTTTCATCTCCCCAGTCGTCGTCTACTCGTTGCGGTATAGAACTTGTGCTGGAATTAGACTGGTCACCTGATTTTCTTCTTCGTCTGCCGATAACCTGAAATTTGACAATAAGATATTTAATTGGGGTGTTCATCTCAGTCAAATTTTATTTTTTATTTTTTTAGAAAACTATTTTTTTAGATAACTAACTAACTATATAAATTTTTTTATATAACTATATATATAAACCTTTGTGCTTCCTGGAGTGAGAAGAGGGTCATCACCATCGAGTGACACTTCCCAAGCTATGGAATTGAGTTTCGAAGGTGTAGTTACTGCTGGCGGCGGCGGGGGGAACGATTCTTCTAGAGAGTCGTCTGAAAAGTGCTCGTCGTCGTTGCTTCTTGATCCTCTCATCTTATAATTCTCCGACATGTCCTCCAACGATCCTCTACACACTTCTCTATGTCTTTCCATAGATCCAGCGAGAGTTCGCGGAGGAATTTTAGCTTTTGGTGATAACATTTCGCCATCGGAAATAGCGTCACGCATGACATTATTTCTTTCTGAACTCTTGGTGTTTGATGGCGACAATTTTGGAATATTGTATGTCGGTGAATGTGACTGTCGGCCATATAGAATGTTGGGTCCGGGGTATATGGTGACAGGGTGCTCATTGTATGGCTTGTCGCTGAATTCACTGGAAAAGCCCAGAAAAGGGAAAACAGGTGGATTCTCAAGACTAGGTGAACGCTTAGGGCCAGATGGATGGCGTGGCGGCAACCAAGCGGCCGTGGTGTCTGGCGGCCGCGCGCCATGCTGCAGCGACGCGAAGCGATGGTGCGATACTGGAGGTTGCTGCAGTTGAAATACATTCGTGTCGCCATCCTTTTCCCATCCGTACGGACGCTGATGTCTCGTCTTAGGCTGAAATAGTGAAATAAATAATAATTTTAACTCATAATACTTTGCTTTGTTGACTTCATTACCTTCATTACTTCATTACCTTAGGTTAAATTTGTTTGAGAACTGTATAAAATTAATACTTACAAATGTGGTTTGAGTAGCTGTTGTGATTCCATTAACACTTATAATGGAGTCTAGCTTCTCTTCTGCTTCACGCTGTTCTATAGACAGGGTGCGTTTGGCTGAATTTGATGGAGATACTCTGAAATTAATTAATGATAATATAATTATTTATTCAGACAACTACTTTTTTAAGTCCAATTGTGTTAACAAACTTACAAAAATAATTTAAATACTTAGTAGGTTAGTGGTCATAATAATAAATAGTAGGTACAAAAAGTTACACAAAAATTAAATTATAAAAAGTGGTAGGCCACTATCTCTCACTTGCATCCCGGTCCATTAGACTCTTGTTAGACTATTCGATCAGGACTCGAATGAAACGATTTCAAAATGGGCAGGTCATATCTATCAGGTATGATAATAATGTGTAAAATGGTGTTTGGTGTTGCTCCTTAAGTCTGCCGAGCAATGAAGCTGTTTTTTGTGGATAATGGCCTTGGAACCATCAATCAATCCGCGCTTCCGCAATATAGTAGACGCACTGCAAAAGCGGGGCAGCCCCATCAACATTCTAAACCCATTATTGTATTGGGCTCGTAGGGCACTAAGTAGGGTATAACTGAACCAAAGGCTGCTCATGTAGAACGATTGGCAGTAGGCTTCGAAAATAGTGATTTTTACTTGCTTGCTACATCGAGTGAAACTACGTGACAGGATATTACCATTGACCTACGTTCTCTTTCTATATGGGTCTGTTAGTCGTTAGTAACATAATGCCCAAAACATTTAAATTGGTATACTCGATTTTGATTGGAACCATCAAGCCTTACTGGCGCCTTTAAATACCATATACTTAATAAAGAAGTGATTTTATAAAGTATTCTATTATTAAAATGTCTTCCTCCTCCATATTGGTCACATTTGTTTTGATTATTAGCTTGTAACGCAATTTGAAAATGGTGAAGTTACGTGTGTATGATATTTACTTTGGTAAGAGTGTAGAAATGATGCGTTCCGCTTCCTCGGGCGGCGGCGGCGACCGCGGCGATGGCGGGTCGGGTGGCGAAGCCTCCTCGCGCTCTTCCGTCGGACGGAAACCCAGCGCGAACTTGGCTCTGAAATTGAGGAAATGAATATTGATTGATTGGGTATACGCCTATTGAACGATTGAATGTTTGAGTTATTTCCGTAGCACTGATTTCCCAAAGCACAGCAATCGGCATTTGATAATTCTCTTATGCCTGAAGCGTGGCAGATTATATTCAAAATCTTTTGCATTTGTTACGTGGGCTGGCTGGATTAGTTCTTCTTTCAACACCTAATTGCCAATGTCTGTAAAAATAGAGTTAGCTGACTAATATAGTTCGAGAGAGTAATTTGTGTTAGTCACTACCTTTAACGTTGAGGGCCACAACGGAGATGCAAAATTATACTGGTGAAATTACAGGCACATGGGACTTGTCAGGTTATGCCTCAAGGTAGCGGGCGCTGTAGCAGTGCCCCTCCGATCTTTGCGATTTAAAGCACGACTTGTTAGTTCCGTCACTTGCTATCATAAAAAAAATGTACCTTCTGCCGTTCATGCTCATATATCCATCGTCCTCGGAAGTGTGTCCGGCAAGTGGCGAGTCGTCGTCTGTGGCGGGCGTGGCAGGGGTCGCGGGAGTTGCTGGGGTTGCCGGCGTGGCGATGGCGACTGCGGGTAACGCGCGCGCCTCCAACGACCGCGGCTCGCCCTCGTCGTATTCGCTCAACACCTGATCCAGCAGCTCCAGGGAGCGCTGCACATCGTCACACCCGCTGAAAATCATGCAAAAAATCTCCATAAGATATTTAATTAAGCTGGGCGTGCTTAACAATATAAAGAAGAGAAAATGCAGAAGGGTTAGAGAATTGAAGGGGTGCGATTTAATTAAATATAGAGTGAGTTATAATTATTAATACAAAGATCGAACACAAAGAAAAATTCATTTTCACTTCTCGTGCTCTTAAAGTTCGTATTTATGCTGGGTACAGGCTGCATAAAATAGGATTTTATGCGCTAGTGCATGAAATAGGATTTTAGGCTCTAGTGCATAAAATAAAAAAAGTCACATTAAATATGTGTAATTGTTATAATTATTCATTCAATTTTAATTAAATAATCGTTTTTTGTAATATTGCTGTTTAATTTTCCCGCAATCGAAGTAAACAGCATAGTGTATAACTCGCTTATATAACCTATTTTACCCTCGACTTAAGTATCCAAAATACTCGTCTCTGGTAAAATGTTGCGTTTTATGCACTTGTTGTACAATATACTATTGATCGACATACACGCTACGCTACGCACGCTACGGTCGTCGCGGGTTCACGTCCTGTCTGATCTTTTTTTTGTGTATTTATACACGTAATCTTCGTATTAATAATTATAACAAATTAGTGGAGATATAGATAATACATCGTGAAATTCAATTGGAAAAAAATTTATAGAGTGATTATTAATTTTAATGGAAACTTTTTACGAGACTTCATAGTATTACTAGTAGTGAGTTCTATTAGTTTTAAAATTTTGTATAAAAGGTTAACGGTGTGATACAAATAAGCTGATAACGTAATATTAAGGTTATTTATAATCCGCTCTGACATTAACAGGTAAAAGGGTAGAGCCTTTCTATTCGTTACCAGAAGCAAAAATATTTTACCAAAAGGTCAGCAGAGCTTTGAAAAGGGAATCCTCTGAGAGAACCTTTCAGTATTATTAAGTAAATAAATTCGATAAAAGTGAGTGAACGTTGCTATCTAATAAGCAACTATTCTAAACCGCATGTTTTAACACACGTGACATTATCAGCCCTGTTAAAATATATAAGAGGGCATCACTGGGTTGTTGCGCGACCATTCATATATTTTATCTGTTTTTTTTTATCGAATTCGTAGGTTTTTCGCTATTGTTACACATAGGAAACTAAACAATTTTTTTTGGGATTTTAAATCACGTATATTTTGTTTCACACAAACCAACGTTTCTCGCCTTGTACAGGTCCCGCGATCACAGGTGGCTGAGATGGTAAAGTCATTTCCAGTTGTCAACCAGTTATGTCTTATTTTAAAACAAACCATTCTATTTTTTCACTATTGTTACAAAAGTAAGTAAAGTGTTGTTTTAAATTTAATTTTGCATAAATTATCGAAGTTTATATATCGAAGGTTTAGGTATACCATGCTGGTCCAATGCGGGTCGGGGACTCAACACGTTTTCCGAGGGTTGTGAACCTTCTTTCACGTGCAGGTTTCATCACGATGTGTTACTTCAACGAAAAGCTTGTGGCGTATTTGAAATTAAATTAAATTCCGAGTAACTCAGAGGTGCGTGCCCGGATTCGAACTCACGGCCTGTGTTTGAGAGGCGGTAGGTCAAATCTTTAAGCTACCACGGCTTACAAACCAATGTGAAATTAAGTCTAAAATCGTCCATAAATGTATTTTATTACAAACTGTAGGTCTAGAGCGTTGTCATCCAAATGTCTTCTGCAAACATTGACTTACAATCATATGGACGTCGGGTCCGCGCTAAAAAGTGTCTGAACTTATAGGGCGTTAAAATCGTATACAGAGCGTCATTCACGCTTTAGTCTTCGTTTGTTCGACTGACAGCGAAGCAAGCAAAATTAGACAGTACTGCGATGACATTACAATTTAAATTCAACGTTTTAGCTTTTTCATATTCCTTTACATGTCACTACGTTTAAATAGGTTGACTTGGGACATTTTTTTTCGTGGTTTTTGTATTAGACCCGTCGTCCATTTATTTGTAAGTCAATGTCTGTAAAGGTAAGATTCCGCCAGATGTGTAGAGGTTTGGAGAAAAAGTTTTACTGAGATTAATTTTGATAATTTGACATTAGCGACGTCCGCCATAATTTTTTAAAAGTATTTTTACAAAAAGGTGCGCCAACATGCAAGAAAAAGCAGTTTCACTAATGCATTATTATATACGTAATTCAGAATTGGACTTGTTGTTTTCAAACACAGACGCAGCTATGAGGGAAATGACCAAACGTCGTTGACACGCGACTAGCGATGATTTCACATTTTGAGTATTTGTTTTTATATTTATTTTTGTTTTCTTTCCTCTCTTTTCTTACTTGTGTAATTGTGATTGCATAAATCTCTTCTTGCCTTTGTTCTTTCTTGAATGTGGGAATTCGTTAATGGCGTTTGAATACTCATCTTTATGTATTACCTAATAAATAAGTTAGACCGAGAATTTGTCTAAAATGTCAAAGCGATAAACGCGAAAGGTATCTTCAAGAAAGTTCATAAAGCACTTGAAATATGCTCTGTTAGCTTGGCCGAAAGACTGAGAGAATTCATTATGTTAAGGCAGCGTGTCCTCAGTGCAAAGTGGTGCTAGTGGGAGGCACAAAGCAACCCTTTTGAAAGAAGAGACGCCCGCTCTAGCGCCGTCTCTCGATAACCTCTCAGCGAGTGCTACAGACTGCTCTATATTTGCTCAATAAACTGTGCGGTTCATTCATGACAAATTTATTTACAGCTCCAAGAATAAAGTTTCGAAACTGGCGAACTTCGTTTATAGCGCTGAAAACTAACATGAGTTTTATTGCTTTCCCGAACGAGCGGGTATGTTATAAGATAAACAGAGCGACGACTCTTCACCTCATAAAACACGAGTGGACATTTTATGAACCGCTAAAACTATGACAAAATATTTCGTAATTTGTAAAACATTTTAGCTTATTAATCCGTCGTCGATATTGTACGATATTCGTACACTATCGACGACGGAATTCTATATTTTAATGACTTTATTTTTAATTTTTTTTTTAAATAATACCAAGTGACGGGGCGAGCAAGTCATGCACCTGGTGGTAAACGACATGCCTATCAATAACAGTTGCAGTCCCACTCAGAGCTTTAAATCGCAAAGAAATTAGGGTCACTGTCACTGCGCCCGTCACCCTGAGGCATAAATTGACCAGTCCCATGTGCCCGTAATTTCACCCTCACCCTTACCCTTTCAAACCAGAACGCAATAATGCTTATAAAATAGATTCATAAAAAAGATTTTTCGTATAAAAAAAATTATTAACAAGCCCTCCAATATAAAACAGTATTTCGAAAAGTCATTATAATCTATAAGCTAACAACTCATCGAGATCAATTAATGAGTCCACGCAAACGAAAATTCTATTTGTAAGTAGTTGAGGAATTGGATAGTCTGCAGACTGTTCTGGTTACAGAATCACATCAAGGTTATCATATTATTGTCAAGTCATCGAATTCCCAAAGTATATCAAATTTCAAATCGCTCAGATAAGTGGAAGAAAAATAAAAATACATCTTAACATTGAAATTCCTACACTGTATGGGAAAAGAGCTGATGATATTTATACAATTGAACATTCATCAAACCATCCCGATTAAATTAACATTCAAATAAGAATAAAAAAAACGCTTGAGATCAGTTCTTTCTTTTGGGAGCTAAGATACCAGACAAACATTTTTATGTTTAAAAAGAAAGAAAGATAGGTTTATTCAGCTTTTGAAGACTCAAACAACAAAACAAAACTAATTAATGATTAGATAATATGACTATAAGCTGAAACGGATTCAACTCAGCATTATGTCACAGCTCGCCTGCTGTAACGCTGGTTTTCAGTTGGAACGACTTTTTTAAGTTGAGATGGCACAAAATTACTAATATATTAAATTAAATTTTAACTAAAGACAAGTAGAAACATTACTAACAATAGGAATTATTACATGAATTGAATGTATATAAAATACTGCACTTGTTAGGAATTATTACAAGAATTTAATGTATGAAACACTGCTCTTGTGAGACACATACAATGAAGTACTAGGAAAGGCTGCCATTATCGCCACAAGCAATTTCTACTATTAAAGTAGATAGACAAAGACTTCAAACCCCTCTTTTTACGTCTGAGGTTAAAAATAGTCTTGTGTATGATAAAAAGTCAAGGATCGAGGTCCTCACTGCAGCATGACTTGTCTCCTCCGGCGATCTGTCCTCCATCGAGACGTTCATTAGTGTTCACTGCAGTAATGATCTCAGATCTTTTCCGGAGGAGCTCGTAAATAGAACTTCTTTTTGTGTGGAAATTTTGAAAGTATGTTTACTTATGTCTCAAATACTGTGAATTTTGCGTTAATTTAGTTTAGGATGATAAATTATTTTACAAGTCTCGTAAAAATACCTATTTTTTAAGTAACGGTAAGGTAAATAGATTAAGGTAAGGGTAAGGTAAGTAGGGTAAGGTAATGGTGGACAGTGGACAGTGGACTTGTCAACTTATGTCTCAAAGTGACGGGCGCAGTAGCAGTGCTCCTCAGATCTTTGTTATTTAAAGCTCTGATTGGAACTACAGCTGTTATGGACAGGCGCACGACTTGTTCGTCACTTGGTATTATAAAAAAAACATATTATAATCTGTGTACGTTTGTATGATAAGTTCGACTATAATTATGTCGGTTTCCAACGTCACATTTCTGATCATGTCTGAGGCTCTGTAGTAAAGTCTCTCGGTAGATATATGTAAGCTGGAGAAGTAATGTCTCATGCATACTTTTATTACAGAGACTCCGGCACTTTGTCTAGTAGGTACAATAAGTTTCCCATAACAGCATATTACCAGCAAAGCAATATCGAGTCGATCTTCGCGTATCGTTGGGTTTACTACTTTCACATCTTTGAGTGGCTGCTCGCTAGACGACATATTGAGAATTCCAATTGAATATTATATACTACTATTGTACTATTAAATCAAGCTTATGAA